GATGGATCATGGGTACCAATATCCACCCACACCAGGCTCCATTCGAGGGGAAGCATATTATTTATCCACTAGATCATCCTCCCACCACCCACAAGTAATCTCTTCCCACCAATATTCTCTGTTTCTGTGTCTGTCTGTCTGCCTCGGTTTCTCTCTCTTCCAAACCACAGGTAGCTAAAGCCTTGGAATGTATCTTCAAGAACGGCCATCGTCTCTCTCTTCAGCTGCTCCCCCAAAGTCATCTCTGTCCCCTGCAGGCTTCCAGCTGCTCCCATCTTACTCATAAGGTCATCTTCTGCCTTCCTCCTCTCCAACTCCACTTTCAGGCTAGGGATGGAAATGACTTCCTCCTTGTGGGTCTCCATCTCCAGCTGCAAAGTCTGCTCCAAAAGGTGGAGGATTTTTGTCCTCCCTGAGTCCCTGAGGACCTGAGGGAGCTGGTATGAAATACTGGGAGAACACGGTCAGTGGGAGAATGGCCGCTGACCACATAGAGGAAAAACTGAAGGCAGAAATCCCCTTCTTAAAGGAACAGATACAGGCTGAGCAACATTTAAAGGAAAACCTGGACACGAGAAGGTGGGAGAATGAACAGCACCCCATGTTTTCTGTTGGAATATGGCTAGTCCATAACAGTGCTTGGCTAGGAGACAGGCTAGATCTGCTGTATGACTATTTTATATTAAAATACGAATCTGTGAGCAGGTCAAAAAAACAGAGAGTGGAAAAGATCTATAATCATTCAAAGGAGTTTGGTTTGTCCATCCACACAAACACCAAGTAGAAGGGCGGCCAGTGCAAATGAATCTGACAATCACTAACATTCTGTTTTATGTGGTCAACACTGTCCCTGTTATCCTTTGTTTGGTCAAGACTTTCCCCCACTCTTAGTTGTGAAAGGGATCCTTCTTCTTTCCTTTCTAAGTTGTTTACACGACCATCTATCCATATGGAGTTTTACTGGATCAAATGAGATCCCTTAGCACAAAGCCTGGCACATAGTAGGCACTTTAATAAAAGCTTGTTCCCTGGAGGTAAATGACATGAGTTAGTTAAACCTACTTAATGTCTGTCAGCCTGCTTTATAGCTTACCTGGTGGGGTTTTCCTCCCCAAATTGTGAATTCTTACCCTAGTAGGAGGCACCTTTGGAACACTATGCTATGTTTGCTCCTAGGTATTGAGTATCAATTCTGTTACATTGACCAACTTCTCTATTGTTTTTTAAACCAGTATCAAATAGTTTAAATGACTATTGCTATGTTTGAAATTGGAACTGCTAGGCTTCTCACTTTTTTCATTATTTTTCTTGAGATTCCTCCTCCTAATGAATTTGGTTTTTATTTTAACTAGTTCTGTAAAGCAATCTTTAGTGGCTGTATTTGTATGGTACTAAATCTGTAAATTACTTTAGATAATATGGTAATTTTTATTACATCAGCAAGGCTGAAGTACAAGTAATTAATATGTCTATAATTATTAGATCTATTTCCATAAAGAATAGCTAGTATTCATATCAACTCTGCATGTCTTGGTAGCTGGACTCCCAGATACTTTATACATTCTGTAGTTATTCTGAATGGAATTTTTTTTTCTCTTTCCCTTCTAGATTTGTCAATAACATGCAGAAAGGCTGATTATTTTTGTAGGGTTTTTGTTGTTTTTTTTTAATATTCTGCTATTATACTGAGATCAGGAACTGTTTTAATTTTTAGTTGACTTCGTAGCGTTCTCTAGGTAAACTTCTATGTCATCTGTAAAAAAGAGACACCCTTTTCTTTCTTTGGTTATACTCAATCCCTTAATTTCTTTTGCTTGTCTTATTTTACAACTATGTCAAACAACAGTGGTGACAATGAATATTCTTGCTTTCCCCTGATCTTACTGGGAAAGCTTCTAGTGTATCTCCATTACAGATAATAAAAGCTTTTGATTTTAGTTTATCATATGAAGTACTAGTCTATCTTTTCCTATTTTTTTTTTAGTATTTTTAACATAAAGGGGTGTTATATACTGTCAAAAGCTTTTACTCGGTATGTTATAATTATTTGACTTTTTATTAATATGGCCTATTATCTTTGTAGTTTGCCTAATAATGAACTAAACTGACATTCTTGGTATAAATACGACTTGGTCATGGCATATCACTTTAAATAATACTAACCTCTTTGTGACGAATCCTCGTAAGTTCCTTATTCTGCTTCAGATGAGAGGTCACTGGATGCCTGCACTTCTCAAAACCTTCCTCCATATTTGCATGTTCTCTTTCTCACGTGTCCCATTTATATGAAATAGTAGGTTTCCCACCCTTCTTCCTTAATTCTTTCCTAACATATTCCTTATCCTGGGTAGTGAGCTGGCACAATGGATAGAATACTGGGCCTGGAATCAGGAAGACATGAGTTCAAATGTGGCCTCAGACAGTGGGCAAGAAACTGAACCCTGTATGCCTGCTTCCTCATCTGTAAAATGAGCTAGAGAAGGAAACGGCAAAACCGTTCCAGTATTTTTGCCAAGAAAACATTGACTGGGGCCACAAAGAGCCAGACACAACTGAAACAACACAGCGACAACACCACAGTCCCTTTGATCAATATTCTTTAGAGATAGAGGTTTACATTATTTTCTTTCTCCTTGGTTTAGGTATATGGACAATATTTGCCTCAGTATAGTTTGTTAGGATCTCCCCCTCTCTCTCTTTTTCTATTTTCACAAACAATTCAAGAACATTGGAATTGTTCTTTGGATTTATGATAGGACTCACTGGTCTTGTTAGTTTTCTTTTGAGAGCTACTTGATATCTTCTTCAACCTTTTTTTTTTCTACCTGAGCTTGGGTTAATTAAATTGTCTCATTTAAAAAATATTTTTTATTAATGAAATTACCTGTTATTTGATTCACCAACTGTTTATGATTAAATGATTTAGCTTCTATTTAAACTTGAGTTCTCTCTTCAGACATTCTTTATTGGTCACCATATCACTGCACTGCAGGCAATAAAGGATATTTTAAATATTCTTGCATTTGCTTGTGAGGTTTTCATTACCTAGTTTGTTGCCATTTTTGATGAAGCTGCCAAGCACAGCTGAGAAACTTGTATATTTCCTTTTGGTAACTGTCATAGAATTGCGTTACCCAACTTTTCTAAAATCTAATTCAGATCCTTAACTTCTTTTTTAGCTTCTTGTCAAATTTGTCTGAAAGGGGCAAATTGATATTCTCAACTATTATAGTACTCTTTTTAATTTAATTTGCATTTTTTTCAAGTACTTTGATGCTATACTTTTTGGTGCACGCATATTAATTACTGATATCATTTAATCATGGAATATTTAAACATAATGTGGTTTCCTTGCTTCTCTTTTAACCATGTCTTTTTTTTTTTAATTGTTGCTCACGATCACAACCTGGGTTTTGTTTTGTTTTCTAACTTGCCTGAAGCAGAAGAGGATAGCAGACCTCTATTAGGTACAGCTTGCTTTTCTATTTAAATATATACTAAATTTTACATGTAACTTTCAACTGCTTACTTGTGATTCTTTCTGCTCTATAATATTTTCTATTCTGTGCATTCAATCCCTCTTACCCTTCCACCTCCCAATTAAAAAAAGTCTTTTTAAAAAATCCCTGCTTTGTGATGAACTCTCTTAAGTTCCTTATTCTGGTTCAGATAAGAGGTCAGTAGATGCTTGCTCCCCACAAAAACCTTCCTCCATGTTGTATGTTCTTTTTCTCATGTATCTCATTTATATACCTTATGGGTTTTTTTCAATCTTTTGTCTTTGTTCTAATATTTCTTGTTCTGTCATGATTCCCTGACTTCTGCTTGCTCCATTATATATGGGGGGGGGGGGGAGACTAAGCAATGGGGTTAAGTGACTTGCCCAGGGTCACACAACTAGTAAGTGTTATGTGTCTGAGGCCTGATTTGAACTCAGGTCCTCCTGACTCCAGGGCTGGAGCTCTAACCACTGTGCCACCTAGCTGCCCCCTGCTCCATTATCTTTTTTCAGAGAGTCCATTACTGGGTGGACTGTAGTATTTTTTCTTTGACGCAGAAACTTTATATTTTGGTGATGCCATCCCTGGTTGTTTTCAGTTTCAGTTTTCTTACAGGAGGTTATTAGTGAATTCCATTTTCTCTTTGCCCTCTGGTTCTAGTAGATTTGGATAGTTTTCTTTTATGATTGCTTGAAATACGGTGCTCACCTTTTCTCACTGATTATGGTTTTCAGGGAATCTAATGATTCTTAAATTATCTCTCCTTTACCTCTTTTTCAGGTCAGTTGTTTGATAGTTGATACCTTATGTTTTCTTTCTTTCTCTCTCCCTTTTTCAACCGACCTGCTGTCTTTGTTCTAATATTTCTTGCTGTGTCACGAGTCCCTGAGTTCTGCTCACTCCATTATATTTTCACGGAGTCCACTCCTGGGTAAGGTTTTCTATCTTCTCAGCTATTTATTCTCCTCTAAATTGTCCCCCCAGCTCTCATTTCATTTATAATTTCACTTTTTCTCTCTTGCTGCATTTCCTCCAAACACTTCTGCAGTCCTTGTGGCTGATCCACCTTTGTAATCTGATGGCACATTAGCTGGAAATGAAATCAAGGTCGGGATGGCTAGAGCCGCCTCCACACTGGTCTTGGGACTTCTCTTTTATTTAGCTCTGTGAAGTGCAGTCTAGATCGACTTTACCTCAGAAGAACTATGTCTACACACCTACGACCCATGACTGTGTTGGGAAGCACCCTCCACGGAGGCTGGCTGTAAATCTTCTATGATTCATACTTTAAAAGGCTGCGTATGGACTAGAAAGGTTCAATGACTGGCACGTGGTCCCACAGCTTGTGTGAGAGGCCATATCCGAAGGTGCTAAGTCATCCATAAATCGAGTCCACTACTCCATCCATTACGATACACCACATAAATATTTTTTAAATTAGTGATAAGTTGTTGGGCAGTGGTCTACATATAAAATATGTTTTTAATTCTCTAACTTCATTCTTTATACAGGTTATACATATTAAGTACAATGAAAGATGAAACTATGGCAACTGGTGTTTTTAATTAGCTTTAAGTTGTTCCTCTTTTATGAGATGAATTTGTTATTTTTATTGTTTTTTAAAAATTCACAAAACAACAATTTTATTTTTATTTTGACAATTTTCTTCAATTTTGGATGGTGCTACACTTTGCCATATTTTCTTGCTAATTCAAAAAACCTTTCTTTATGCAATAGTTGCATCCTTATTTTATAGATGTAAAAACTGAAGTCAAAAGAAGTTAACTGATTTGTCCAGGCCACTCAGACAAATAGTTATAGAGCCTGAACTAGGACCCAAGTCTCCTGATTCCGAGCTCAGGATTAAGAATTTATTAACCCATACTGCAGATGTCTAAACTGCTCAACAAGAATTAAATAAATGGCCTTTCCAGAACTGAGCACCAGCACATGCTGTATGTAAAAATAATTAGAGTTCTACAATGGTGTTCCTATTTCACAGCTGACGTTTACTGGTCTCACATTCTGTCACAGAAGACTGTGTAACAGAGTTCTGTTGTGCTAGTTGATAAATAATTTTTTCAAGGACTGGCGCTACCCTATTAAACTAGGTTGAATATACTTACTACCTATTTTAAATATAAGTACATTTTAAATGTCTACATATTTATAAATTTTAAACAAATCTACAGATAAGTTAGTAATAATTACAGTTGGCTAACCTACTGAATATTTCACAAATTCCCTGTTTTATATTCTCATTGCTTTTTTCTCTCTGGTTATTGTAATATAAAAATAAAAGCGCCAAATTTTGCTTTAAATGTCTTTTTTTTCTAATTAGAAAATAATTTAAATGTCTAGCCTAATGATATTTTTATATTTTAAGGATACAACTTCATATCTTTTAACTGAGTAAGACATACTAAATATCTGTGATATTTTATATAAATCATTTAATGTTGCTGTGGCAAAGGCTTATTTACAATTGGTTGACCTTAATACAAATCAGGAAGGAAGTATTAAGCAAAATACACCCTGGATTTACTCCCCAAATGAGGAAAATGGAACCCACTGAAATGTATCACACACACATACTGTAATCAACAATACACAACAGCTAAAAGGGAGGCAAAGCCAGAGAAGCGACATTCCTCATGACTCAACTGGTCAACAGAGAACAGAATTACCCTGGCGTCGCCCTTTGTGGTCGGGCGGCGTCAGAGGAGTCACTGTCCGAGCCGGCCTCACGACATGAGCGAATACACACAATTATAGACCCATTCTTGTCGTTCGTTCATGGGCATCACGTGCTGACAAACCTGCGAAGGGAAAAATGACCAATAAACAAAAGAAAGTGAGAACCTTACTTTCAGGTGGTTTTTGGTGAGCCAACATTACTGAGTCCTCCACAACAAATAAAGATGAGATCTCCCAGCTATGGAACATGGTAATCTATGATCTGACTCTTAATGACGTAATCCAAACCGAATTAGGTTGTACCCTCAGCCCTGGGAGAAGAGGAGAGAAAGAAAAGAAACAGACACTTGTCTCTCCTTCCTCCCCAAGCACTTGGCACAATGCCTGGCATGCAGTAGGTGCTCAGTAAATGTTTGCTGAGTGACTGAGGAAGGCTGGGCCAGGGAAGGCAGAACGGTGAACACCATCCTCATTTCTCTTTCTCTACCCACGGTCACAGTGGCTCAGCCTGGCTCTGAGCCCCCACTTCTGGCTGAATCTGAATCCGGGATGCTGCTCATAAAACCTGGAAATTACACGCCTCAGAGCTGAGACACCCAACAGAAGATCTAGGGTAGTGGATAGACAGAGGGTGGAGTTGGGGTAAGAGGATGCGAGTCCGGTTCTCAGCTCTGACTCTTTGGGCCTCAGTTTTCCTATCTGTAAAATGGACATAAAACCTGTAGTGTTCACTGCATAGGGTTATCATGAGGGAAATGTTTTATAAACCTTAAGTCCTAGGAAGACAAGGGATCACTACTTAATCTATTTCAAGCTGACCAGGCTAGGTAGTGGCTGGGTGAGGTTACAGCTCCATTTTACAAATTAAAAAATGGACATGGACAAGGAGAGTGACTGGCCTTGTCTGTTCCACAGCTGACCATTGGCAGAGCAGGGCCTGACATGCCAGGACTATCCATATGACTGAGGCATTAATTACTCTAATTAGATTCTGACACTGTTTCCTTTCCTATTTGCATGTTCACTAGGACCACAGCAGGATTAAGTGGAGGGTGTAATTTAGAAAAGAGTATTCTTTACCGTCATGGATTTTGGTGCCACCTCCACGGCGAAAATGCTGAGACTTCTGTTATTTACACAGTTTTTACTTAGCTCATTGTTGACATGAATAATCACTTTATTTTCTGACTGTAAAACAAGATAACATTTTTAGTCCATTAGCTTGTAAATAACCATGAAGACCTTTCACATCCCCGTCTCCCTCCCGCAGGTGCCTTCTGCCACTTCCCCAGCATGATCAGCAACATCCCTCCTCCTTGAACAAGCCCACCTCCTTCCGGTCTCCAGTCTCCTGTGCCTAGCGCGTGCTCTGCTCTTGTCTATCCAAATCCTCCCCATTCCTCCTCCTTCCATGAGCACTTCCCTGACTCTTTGAGTCCACAAAGTCTTCTGTGTCTGATATCCTAATGCACTTCATAGGAAATACGCCACAGCCGAGTATCACAGCGTGTAACTGCTCACCATCCAATAAGACTCTGGCTTTCTGGAAGCAGAAGCCTGGCCTCACTCTTCTCTAGATGCCCCATGGCATCTAGTACAATGTCAGGACATTTAGAGACCTTAATGTGTACGTGACTGACCAGTATTTCCTGTCAATACTGTATATATTTGAGACAAAAAGATGCCCCAGAACTTGAAAGAACTGACCAATAACCTAGAGTTTCTTTAATAATCTTGGCTGGGTCATGCTGAAAGATCCAGAAGTTGATTTGAAATAAACACGGGCTCCCTCGGGGAATAGGGGCAGGGTGGCAGAGAAAACTCTTCTTCTATGTCCACCATGTCACTCGGTCAGTAACAGAACAATGCAGGAAGATCAGTGAAGAGGGACAGGGGACTGGCAGGGGCAGCATTCAAGAAGGGGCTGCGATCAAACGCATGGCCAGACGTGCCCACACACAGACACCTGGAATGTGGTGGATAAGCCGGCTGAACTAGTGACCCTAACGCAAGGAGGTGAATCCGCCTTTGCCAAGACTCAGGTCTTCATCCAGGGCAGGCCCCTCACTCTGGGTGTCCCTCAGGTCCTGTCCTGGGCCCGCATCCCTCCTCCCTCTGCTCTATCCTGAACATAATCACCAATGTCCTTGCTGCTGGAACAGAAGCTTCCTGAGAGCAGGGACGGTCTCACTTTTTGTATCCATATCCCTAGGGCTGAACACAGACCTGGGCCGCTCAGTGATCGACTGAACGAGGGCTTGTCTAGCACTGTGGCTGGCACAGAGAAGGCACCATTCCCTTCTGGGACCAAGTCCAAATCAGGCCTGGCTCCAGGAGCGTGAAGCTGGCAGCTGGTACAGCTAAGCATTCGCTTGGGAACACAGTCACCGTAAGGTCACCTTTAACCTTTATGGTGACATGAGGAACTTCCAGAAACCCGTCTCTAAATCTGAGTGATTCTGTGGGAGCCAAGCTGAAATTTATGTTAATTTAACCATCAAGGAAAAGTTGCAAATCCACTCCTTTTCCCCTCTCTTCAATTTCTGGTAAGTTTTCTGAATAAAAAAATTAAATAACAAGGATTTCAGAGTTCCTCTAGAATAACACTGCCCTAAATTAGGAATCCTATGGAACCAGAAAGGGTGAAAAACAGCTTTCTTGAATTTTTTTAAATACTGATATAACAGAAAGTTTCTTTGGCCAATCACAGAAAGGAGATGAGACAGTATGAGCATATATGGAAGAGAGTTAGAGACAGCCAGTCACAATGAATACCTTATTTTCAAGAACTGACGTGATGCGGAAATCGCTTTTGTAGGTATGTAGGAAGACGCTCTCCTGGTTGTCCAGGGCTTTGGCATCGCCTTTGTTCATGACAGATTGGCAAAGAGCTTTCTCAAAACGAAGGCCACCGGACCCCAGGTGGACGGCCTTAATCCTGGGCCGGCACTTCTCAGCGTAGATGTCAATGACAAATGGGCATGCCTGCAGCAGGGAAAAGCAAATGAGGATGTGACATTTATGACTTTTGTGCTCTGGGACAGAACATACACTGCACTCGCCACGCTCTGCCCATCCGAGTTATCTTGTTCACTCTCATGACACTGTTGCCTAGGACATGTTCCTGTCTGCCTCTCTCTGAGGACAAACCTTAAAGAGATGGACCCTGTCCTCTTCTGCTTCCCGTGCTTGGCCCTGGGCCCTAAGCATTGTAGGGCTTCCTTAAGGCTGGTTTGAATTGGGCCAGTTCAGCTTTCCAAGCAAACAAGCCTTGGACTCCTGACCTTGTAAAGGGTCATCGGTTAGCGTGAGAAGTACAGAGACAAAGGAAGAAGACTAGAAGCCAGAGAGGTCAGCTTCTTTTTAGCACAACTCTTGCTTCCTTTGGGTCAAAGGCTTTCTACTGTCCTAAGATCTTGCGATGTTTTCTTTTACAATCTTAAATCAGCTAAAAGGATGCAGAAAGCCGGCCTTCTGGGACACAAACCACTTCCAAACCCGAGCTAATTGTGGCCAAGGGACCTGCCCCAGGGTTCAAAACAGCAAGTTCTCTGCCTTTGCTAACAGCTCTCTCCAGCATCCTGCCCTGGCTGTAGAAGAGAAACCAAGGGAAAGCCCAAACTGACCAGTAGAGGGTGAGCAGCCACATCCATTTCTTAATACAGGAGGATAAAACAACAATCCCTACCTATGGGAACAACTCAAGGTCCCTTTTCAATAATGATTTCAGATACTTTAAAAAGCTGGTTTTATTCATACAGAGCTTAAATACAAATTCCTGTTAAATTTTCTATTTTAAAATTTGTGGCCACAACATTTATTTGGCCAAAGGATGAAGACAAGAAGACAACAAGAAAATGTTTTCAAAGTCCTCTTTTCAATAAAAAAAAAAAAAGGAGGGAGGGTGGATTTTAGGTGGTACTTAAAGGAAGTCAGGGAGGTCATTAGAGTGAAGGAAGGAAAGCATTCCAGGTATGAGGGACAACCAGAGAAAACAGCCAGAGCCGAGACACAGAGGGTCTTGTTCTTGGGACAGCCAGGAGACCAGGGTCACTGGGTCAAAGAGTGCATGAGGAGTAAGACTCGAAGGTTGGAAAGGGAGGAGGGGGCAGGTTATGAAGGCATTTTGTATTTGATCCTGGAAGCAATAGGGAGCCACTGGAGTTTGAGTAGGGGGTGACATGGTCAGACTTTGGAGCACAGAGAGATTGGAGGCAGGCAGACCCCCCCAGTCCAGGTATGGGGTGAGGAGGGTCTGTCCCAGTGTGGCGGCCGTGTCAGAGCAGGGAAGGGGGTGTCCTGGAGAGATGTTACAGAGGTGGTCAACACCAGCATGGCACCAGCTTGGTTATGGGGGGAGTGAGGAGTCCAGGATGACTCCTAGGTTGAGAGCCTGAGGGACTGGGAGGGTGGTGGTGCCCCCCAAAGTAACAGGGAAGGTAGCGGAGAGGGAGAGAGGGAAGGTGCTGAGTTCAGGTTCTCCAGTTTTACAGAGAGTGAGACAGAGATGCAGAGAGATGACTCAGTGAGGAAGAGAGGGAAGGTGCTGAGTTCAGGTTCTCCAGTTTTACAGAGAGTGAGACAGAGATGCAGAGAGATGACTCAGTGAGGAAGAGAGGGAAGGTGCTGAGTTCAGGTTCTCCAGTTCTACAGAGAGTGAGACAGAGATGCAGAGATGACTCAGTGAGGGAGAGAGGGAAGGTGCTGAGTTCAGGTTCTCCAGTTTTACAGAGAGTGAGACAGAGATGCAGAGAGATGACTCAGTGAGGGAGAGTGGCAGGATCTGAATCCAGGGCTCTCCAACCTCCAAATCAAGCCCTCTTGACTCCAACATGTTTTATATCGTTGCTGAGGGGTCACAGCCAAGGCCGGCAACATGTGGACTGTATAATTCCTGAACGTAGTATTAAAAGGATAATTAATGAAAAGCTGGAGGGGGAGGTCATTATCACCAATAGGATAACTTCATAAAAGAACAGGAATGAGAAACTATGTTAACAAGTAATAAATAAACATTTATAAGAAGTACTTGTGTCCCAGGCACTGTCCACTGGGCATACAGAGAAAGGCAAAAATCCAGTTCCTGCCCTCAAGGAGCTCACGGTCTGACCGAGACAACAAGTAAATAAACAGACACCCAGAGGAAATCGAGATGGACTAGGTGGAAGGCAGCCCTAGAGTGAGGAGCAGTCTGGCATCTGGGGAGACCAAGGTGGGATGTAGCTAACTCTCCAAGGAAGCCAAGACAGCCTGGAGACGGAGAGGGGAGGGCCGAGATGGGAGATGGAGCCTAGCACGTGGGCCGGGAGGGCTGGACAGTTCAGCGTGTGTGTGGGTGAGGAGTAAAATACATGAAAATCAGAAGGGTGGCAAGGGGCCATGTTGGGAGAGGCTTTAAATGCCAAGCAGAGGGCAAGGATGGCACTATGACAGAGTGCTGGCTTCAAGTCTGGAAGACCTCACTTCAAAGCCAGCCTCGGACACTAACAGTTGTGTGACCCTGGGTCAGTCACTTCATCTCTGTTTGCCTCAGTTTCCTCAAATGTAAATAGGTATAATTAAAGCACCTACCTCACAATTTTATTGTGAGGATTAAAAGAGGTAACATTTATAAAGCACTTGGCACTAGGAGGCACTTAACACATTCTAGCCTTCATTGTTATTATTTTCATTTGCCCCCGGAGGTAAAATGGAGCCACTGGCGTTTCCTGAGTAGAAGGGGTGCCGTGGTCGGACTCGTGCTTTAGAAAAACCACTCTGAGAAGCCCTCCCAATCAGAGCAGGGTGAAGGAAGGCTGTCCATCATCACCACTGTTATTTAATACTGTACTAGGAACACTAGCTACAGCAATAAGGCAGGAAAACAAGGCAACCAGGATGGTACACTTAGAGAACCCTGGGAAATCGACTAAAAAGCTACTTGAAATTTCACAACGAACAACTTCAGCAAAGTCGCAGGATATAAGATAAACCCACATAAGTCATCCGCATTTCTACACATTACCAACAAAACCCAGCAAGAAGAGACAGAAAGAGAAATTCCATTTAAAATAACTGCAAACGATATAAAATACTTGGAAGTCTATCTGCCAAGACAAACCCTACACGAACCCTGTATGAAAATTATGAAACACTTTTCACACAAATAAAAACAGATCTAAACAATGGGAGAAATACTAGTTGCTCATGGGTGGGCCGAGCCAATATACTAAAAATGACAAGTCCACTTCATTCACTTACTCAGTGCCACACCGATCAATCTACCAAAGGGTTACTTCATAGAGTCTGGAGGAGCAGAAGGTCAAGCATGTCAGAGGAATCATGGAAGGTGACCTGCCAATCTCGGATTGCAAACTGTGTTACCAAATAGTAATCATCAAGACAATCGGACACTGGCTGAGAAACAGAGTGACGGATTAACGGACTAAATCAGGCACACAACACACCGTGATAAATGACCACAGTCATCTAATGTTTGATAAACCCAAAAATCCAAGATTTGGGGGCAAGAACTCATTATCTGACAAAAACTGCTGGAAAACTAGAAAGCAGTCTGGCAGAAACTAGGTACAAACCAACATCTCACACCATATACCAAGACATGGTCAAAATGGTTACGTGATTTAGACACATGAGAAAATTAGGAGAGCAAGGAATAGTTCACCTGTCAGATCTATGGAGAAGGGAAGAATTTATGACCAGACAAGAGACAGCATCATGAAATGTAAAACAGATAACTTTGATTATATTAAATTAAAAAGGTTTCGCACAAACAGAACCAATGCAACCAAGATTAAAAGGAAAGCAGAAAGCTGGGAAACAATCTTTACAGCCAGTGTCTCTGATAAAGGCCTCATCGCTCAAGTACGTGGAGAACTGAGACACTTACAGGCAGTGGCCATGGCATGGATGCAGACCTAGCAAAGGAGAGGGAAGAAGAGAGGCCAGACAAGAGGACAATACAGAAAGAACAGTGTCACACAACCCTGAGCAAAGAGTATTCAGGAGAAAGGGACAGACATTGTTCAATGCTGCAAGGAGGTCAGGGTGTTTGAGGACTGAAGAAAGGCAATCAGATCGAGCAATTAAATCATGGGTGACTTTGGAGGAAGCAGTTTCCTTGCATGAGGATACCAGACTGTAGGGCTGAAGAAGAAAATGCAAGGAGAGGAAGTGGGAGGCCCTGAGGGAAAAGGATATTTCCAAGGAGCTGAGCTGGAGCAGAAGCTGAAGGGGAAGGCAGCATTAAGTGAGGGGAGACACTGATAGGATTACCATACTGGCGGCAGAGTAGCAGAATCCTAAAAATTGTTTCCCCAGATTTTAGTTAAGCCTTCAACAAAGTCACTTGTGCTGTGACTGTAGAAAAGATGGAGAGATGAGGGTAGGTGAGAACAGAGACTGCCCCATGGGGGTGTGCTTGGCCTTGTGCTGTTTAACATTTTTATCAATGGCCTGGATTAAGGTAGAGATAGCATTGTTGTCAACCCTGTAGGTAACAGCAAACTGGACTGGATGACGGGCAGAAGTTAGGAAAATCACAGAGCTGATTCAAAAGAGAGGAAATGCAATAGGGAGCTGATATTCAAGACAGAGAAAGCAAACATAAATTTATATGGCCAAGAACCACTGTCCAATAAACAGTTTGAGAATATTTACAAATGATTCTCAAAAGAATAATTACAGAGACTAAAAAACAAAAGATGCTCCAAATCATGGGTAATGAGGAAAATGCCAATCAAAAACCTGGCACCCAGCAAACAGGCAGAGATGACAAGCTATGAAAGTAGTGAATATTGGGGGGGGCTGTAAAGAGGCAGGCCCCCTCACTGGTCGAACTGTAAATCGGTCCCACTCTTGTAGAGAGCAGGGAGGACCTAGAACTAAAACACAGCGACTCCATTCTTGTTCTCCATGCCACTGCCTGCAAGCTTGGTACCACACAAAACAAGATACTCATGGCGGCACTTTTTGGGGTGGCAACATATGGATGCTGGGGCACAAGGACAGTGCTGCAGAATTCCAAAGACTGATGTGAACTGAGGCATAGTGAAGCCATGAAGACCCCGTCCAGAGCACCAAGTGGGGCCCGAAGAAAGAACCATCAAGCCCAACGTCCGCATGAGAGGAAGTGGGAGAAGGAAGCTTCCTCCCTTCTCTGAAGAAGGGGGAGGGCTGGTCAGCCGGGGGTGACGGACAGCAGTTTGCCGAGCTGCCTTTTCCCCTTTTGCCATAATTCTTTGTTGAAAGGGAAGGGTAGGAGAGGAAGGTGGGGCATATTTGTAGGGGAAGGCAACATAAAATCCAAAGAAATAATATGAAAAAAGAAACAGCAAGTGTTACTTCATGGATGGGGCAATATGAAGTCTTTCTTGAAGGTTAAAAAATTTACTTCCTTAGTATGAGATGGGTGAGGCACGACCAAAGAGCACTTTGCCTGAAGAAGCTCTGGGGGTCCGGGCGGACCACACGTTCAACATAAGCCATGAGCAACCAAGGAACCTCACAGGAGCTTGGGCGGCATTAAGAGAGGCCCAGCCGCTAGGCACAGGGAGGTGGCAGTCCCACCGGCCATTCTACAACCACGGACATTACCACATTCTAGGAAGGACCTTGATAAACCGGATCATCCAGAAGGGTCCCAGGGGCTCAGCTGAAAGAACCGGAGGTCTTTATCCTGGAGAATAAAAGACGAGGGAGGGGAGGGGGAAGAGGGGAGCACGACGGCTCTCTTCAAGAATCTGAAGGGCTGGCTATCACTTTTTGGCTTGTCATTACAGGTCAGGGCCAAGAGCAACGGGCACATATTCTCTAGATCTGTTTATCTGTTTCAGGGAAGGAAAGACTTCCCAAGAATTAGAGCTATCCAGAGCTGAATGTGTTACCTTGAGAGTGAGTGGCTTCCCCACAATCTGAGATCTTTAAGCAAAAACCAATGGCACTCGTCAGACATTCCAGGTGGGAGTTAGACTAGATGGCCAGTCAGGTCCCACTTGACCTTGATTTCTATAGGCCGTCAACAATCATTGCCATTTTGGTGAAAAACGTCTGGATGGACTTTCCTGTTTCCACTGGCTTGCAAACAGGAATGTCACCAAGGACTGACGTGGTCCAAGCGCCCAGGGGGTTAACATCGGTGCTCACCCGACAAGTCCACGTTCCCAACAAACCTGCCCTGATCCAGGTCCTGGCCAGAGTGGGCCGACTTGGCATGGAAACCGAAAGGCCTCATTAATACCTTACCCTTTTAGATTTGGTACGAATCACTGTGCCTCAGGTTATGAAGAATGCCAGACGTGTCATCTCTGCAAAGGGAACATTCTTCCTCCTGCACCAGAATCACAGCTCATGTTCTGGGGGGATGAGAACAGAGCACCCACTACAGAAACGTGCTAGCAACTTAAACTATTTCTGCCTAGAGCGTCTACATGCTCTGAAGCCACGGAGCTGTCTGCTTTTCATGTCCGACTCCGAGGTGGTTCTAGTCTTCTGTGCTCTTAAACTGGCAACAACCAAATGTTGCACAAGACTAATTAAAGGGAGCAGAAACAAGACTGCAAATTTAGGCGCGATTCCTGCACACAATGCATGAGTACAGGGCCTGGATGAAAGAGTCTGGGAGCTTTGTCTGAAATCCAAGCCCTACATGAAAAGTTCATTCAGCAGGTTTCTGGTTGTGCAGGTGAAAACAAAAAAGGCCATGAATTAAAAACACAGGCAATGTTTAAACACTTTTTACCTCTACCATTTCCAGGGCTTTGTTGTAACCCATTGACTGCAGAGTCACCCAGAGGTCACTTGGATCTCCTTCTCGATCATTGGCTTCCATTAGATTGAGATCCATAAATCCTTGCTTTGTTAGTTCGTTCTTCTTCGTATCAAAATTCTCTGGTTTTAGGGAAAAAGAAGCACTATATGACTGAACTATTTTTCAAATATTTATATAAACCCTTAGGATATAAATGTTCATTTGTGAACAGCATAACTGGCATTTATAAATTTACAAAGAAGACTCTGAAAAGCAAGACCAACAGATGTACGGGACACAACTTTGTAGTTTCCCCTCAAACTGCATGGAACAGTCTCCCTCCTCAGAGCCAACTCCCGTGGCCCCTGCCCCCTTTAGTATTTTTAGTATCCTTGATAAACACCTTTAACTCCTTTAACCATTCTGGCATGACATGAATTCTTTTCACTAGGGATTCTTAACCTGGGGTCTGTGAATTTGTTCTAAAGAATCTTTTGATAACTATGTTTTGATATAATTGGTTTCCTCTGTAATCTTCTGTATTTTATTTTATGCATTTAAAAAATGGAGGTGGCCAAAGGCTCCAGCAGACTGCCAAAGGAGCCTGTGACACACCCCACTTTACACTCTCCCACTGGTTGGTCTCCTTAGTTCCTATGGGGTTAGCGACCATCTCTAAGCAGAAGACTCCCAGATCTATATACGCAGCTGGAGTATCTCATCTGAGCCCCAGTTCTGACATCATCAACTACCTGGTAAACCCTGAAAATGGGTATTCTAGACACATCTGAAACTCAGTGTGTGCAGAACAGAACTCATCGTCCCTGCCATCCCAAACGTGCCACTGTGCCAAAACTTCCTATTTCTGCTGAGGACACTGCCAGCCTTCCAGTCTCTCTGGTTCATAATCACAGCCTTTTCCCTATACTCCTCATTCTCACTCATCACACATATCCAGCTTTTCACTAAATCTTACCATTTCTACCTTCACAATTTCTCTTGTATATAATTCCCCTCTCTCCACTCACGCAGCCATGACCCTAGCTCAGACCCTTATCTTTTCTTGCCCAGACTATTTAAACAGGCTTCTAACTGGTCCACCTGTCCCAAGCGTCTCCCCATCCCAATCCATCCTTCATTCAGCTGCCAAAGTGATTTTCCTCAAGCACAGATCTCAACACAAGGAGTTTCCAAGCACATTGCCTATTACCACCAAGACCAAAAAACAACCTTTCCGTTTGGTAATGAGTGCTCTTCATATCCAGCCCCAGTCCTCCCGTCCCTGTGCTCTGACACTTCTCCAGGATCTTGCTGCATTGGCTCATCCGCAGTCGCTCAGATGGGACCCTTCCTCCCGTCTCTGGGTCTTGGATGGGCTCGCTCCCCACCTGGAAGCTTTGCCTCAGTTCCACCTCTCCCCTCCTTGGCTCCCTTCAAGACCCAGCTCACCTCTCCCTTAGGCTGGGCTCCTTCCTGGCTCCTCCTCCTCTCACATTGCTTCTCATTCACTCTGCAAAGCTCTCCTAGGAACCTGGTTATTTACAAGATGTCTCCCTCACAGAGGGTGAGCTCCCTGAGGGCAGGGGCTGTTTCTGCCTTTCTTGTATCCCCAGTGTCTGGTACCTCATAGGTGCTAGGTACATGTCTTGTGACTGAGTGACTTGTTAATTACTCTAGGGAACTATCTTTCCAGGCTCGTGACACATGACTCCCCTTCACACATCCTACTACCTAGGCAAATGGGTTTTCTCTCATTCTTCACATCTGCCTGGTGCTCCATCCCCTTCCATCACCTGTCTTGGAGCTTGTGACTGCCTCTGCCCTGGGCCTGGATGCATTCCCTTCTCACCATCGCCTGCAGGATTCTTAACTTCTGACAAGATTCAGCACCAGCCCCACTGGTTGCTCAATGCCTTTTCTGCACCTCTCAACCACCATATTAAACTCTCACATTTATTTTGTGTTTATTCTTCACACAGCTACTCTCTTTCTACTTCTACAATTCCAAGTCATCTCATCTGATGGAGCAGAAACCAACAGAAGGCAGAGTCCCAGCGCCCAGCACCACGCCTGGGCAGAAAGAGACAAAATAAATGCTCACTGGTTAGTTTATACCTCCCTTCCAGTCTACGCCCTCAGACTAGGAAGAATGACAAAGCAAAGCTTTCTAAGACACTCCTAGCCCATGACTGGACAAAGAACAAAAATGTGCTTTGGACCGATTTTAAACTTATCACGTCCCTTGGAACAAAGAGGAAAATGACTGCTGGTTTTAGTTATCCTGACATCCTCTTTTAAGAAGCAAAAAGTTTATTTACCCTTGCAGATAGCCCAGGCATCTTCATCACATTTCTCACCACTTGTCCTCAGTTCAAAAAAGTTATATTCGTCAAGGCTAATAAGCCCATTTCCATCTAAATCGATTATATCAAATATGTCTGATAAAGCAGATCTAAAACAGACAAGAAAAAAAAGGGCAGCAAAATAAACTGGAAAACATATTGGTAAAAGGAAAACGTAGAGCAGAAAATCTCGTGATTTACACCCCGGCTTCCAAGCTGTCTTCATTTGCTACACATTTTGTCTATTCACACAAAGCTAGACTGATGAGCCTCTAGAACTAGAAGGGGGCTTGGAGCTCACCTAGGGAGTGACCTAGGAGAACAGATGCATCACGTCTACACAGATACATACATATAGCAGCTGAGGAGCACTAAGGTTCCCCTGGTTGGATCTACAGCAGACTCATTTATCAGTGCTAAAATAAAGGAGAATTAAAAAAAGAAAAAAAAACCAGAATTTTAAAAGTGGCTTTGCAATGCTGTTAGATACCCATCTGTTGAATCAGAGATACACTCCCAGGCCCCAGAGCCTCCCTGCTCAGCGGCCTGGCTAACCAGGAGAGGAACGGCATCTCCAGCTGGTTTTGGGTCACTGGCTACTCCAGCGAGAATTAAACGTATCTCAAGCTTTCTGTGTCTAGGGCAGGGATGGTCTTGGGCAGAAAGAGTTCTGGCTAATCTGTGGCTAGAAGTGACTTGCTAGAAGTCACTACTGAATCCAGAAATAGGTGAAGTAGCAGGATATTACTGTACCCAAAGAAATGACAAATATGAGGATTCCTAGGATTTGGGAAGACTGAGATGAACATTTGTAGAGTGAAGTAAGGAAGACAATGTAAATGAAGACAATGATAATGTAAAGCCTCCAAGTACGGAGAAGCTTCAGAACTCTACTCCCTGTAGTGATTACTAATGAATGAATGACTTCTGAAGACCGAGGGGTGCAGCACAGCTCCCTTCTCTTGATAAAGAGGTGGTGAACACGGGGTGGGGACTGAGGCAAACATTGTCAAACATGGTCAGTGTGTTGGTTCGTTTGCCTGTTTGTACTTATTTGTTACAAGGGAAGAACGTGGGAAGGATCGATGGGCATTTAACATTTAAAAATGGGTCTATTACCTACCAATGCTTAAAGGTACAAAAACAGTAGGGAGACATGGCCTGGATTGCCTATGGAAAAAACTGCAGGACTCTTTTAATGGCCCCAAGCTTCTCCTTGAAACAAAGGCCCATTATCTTCCAGTGATGCTCTAGGGCTCCAAGTCCTGGAACCTCCCAGTGTCTTAGGAACTGGATTTAAGATAACTTGAAGAGAAATGAAGAGGTGCACAGTGGGTCTGACCAGGCCAAACCACATCAAAAAGAACTACTCAAGAGCAGTACATAAAAGACATCACTACCACTAGAAAGAAATGGCCCCAGAAGAACGAGGGCTAATTAGCTAATAGCCCTGTGGCACACACACACACACACACACACGCAATGTCAGTCCAGAGAGCACGGGGAAAGTCTCTGGCACAGCAGCTGGGCTTCCTGCGATGAGTTGGGGGAGAGGCAGACACAAGAGCCCCACAGGCAAGCAAAGGTGGGTTACAGACTGTACTGCTGGAAGGAATGCCCACGAGGCAGAAGCTGAGCACTGCTTTGCATCACGGGCAGGCCATTTTCTTGGTCTGATGATGTCGGGCTACCTTGTGGAGCTGGGGAAAGGGGCTACAATCCTCCTGGAAACAAAGCTTACCTAAATTTCTTTGTAAGAAACAACTCTCCCTTTTCACCTCTGCACACCAGCTTGGCTTCTTCCGTAATGTGTTTTTTCTCCTTCTTCAGCCAACAGCCAGTTGTGAAAGGAATTAAATAATAAAGTCCTGATCCTAATTCACCACTCCATCCATACATCTATTCTCAAAAGAATAAAAGGGAACTCTATAAGTCTTTACCAACAGTAACTTTAGGTGTGTTTAAAACCAATATTCACCACTCTTAGGAATCTATGACTTCACAAGCTAATAGAACTGGAACAGATAGACCTTAGAAGTCATGAAGCTCAAACCCCTCATTTTACAGATGAGGAAACTGAGGCCCAGGCTGGAGAAGGGACTTGCCCAAGAACACACAGGCAATATAATGGTAAAGGCAGAATTCAAACCCAGGTCAGAGCTTCCTAAACTTCACGATTTCATCTCTATGGACAGTAAACACAATGATGACTGAAGAGCTGGTTACCAGGAGCTGCTGTGGCCCAAATAACAATAAGTGTCTAGTGACTAAAAGAATGACAACTGCTATTTCGCCAAATTTTGTGCTTTCCCAAGCCTTCTCCACTGGATTTGCTGGCCTCTCTGAATCTGTCGAGGCTGATGCTCAGACAGCGGACAGCCAGGTCACAACTGGCCCAGACTCTGCGGAGGCTTTCTGCCGGAGCTGGTTACTGCTGGGACGTCCTTCAAGATGCCAGGGTCATCCCCATGACATGGTGACACGAAAGGCCGCCATCAGCAGAAGGGCTCTTCTACTCATTCTGGAGACCCTTCATGTCTCTCACCGCTAGAGCACCTCCCTGCAGGCTGTTGTGAAGATCAAATGGGATGTGCTCAGCACAGCGCCTGGCACACAGGAGATGCTTAATAAATGCATATTCCCCTCCTTCCTATACCAAAGGGGAAGTTACAATGTTTACTAATGTTTGTGCTGCCAAACGGGGAAGTACGAAGTTTGAGGTGCCCTTTTCATGCAGTTGCTGAAATTCTTAAGCAAAAAGCCCTGTTTTTACTTCACTAATATCCCCATAGTTCAAGGAAACAGAGCAGATGACTGACTACTGAATCACCTGCTTCTTCTCGTATGATGTGAAGGTACTGCAAGACTCAACATGGGGGGCAGCTAGGTGGCACAGCAGATAGAGCACCAGCCCTGATTCAGGAGGACCTGAGTTCAAATCCAGCCTCAAACACATAACACTTGCTAGCTGTGTGACCCTGGGCAAGTCACTTAACCCCACTGCCCAGCCAAAAAAAAAAAAGACCAAGCACAGAATGGAAGGCTGTCCTTTTGGGCAGAGGCCCACCTAATGCCCACTGTCTCAAGCTGAGGCTGCGGGCCCTTCTGTATCCAGTGAGAAAGGCTGGGAGTCACCAGCACAGGGGCACAGACTGGATGCGCTACAGAAGGACAGCCTAAGTACAAAAAAGGCCAGCTGGCAGAGTGCTGGCCAGTGGGAGATGAGCGCTCTGACAAAAGAGACCCACAAAAGTATTTTGTCACACTGGAAAAACCCCGTACGCTCATATTGATTTAGATGTCATTGATATTATACTGATTTAGAGCTGGAAGGAATATTTGAGATCATCTAGTTCAATGACCTCATTTTATGGAAATATGTGTCTAATTAAAAATTAGTGTGATTCTATGAGAAGCTATTGGTCTTAAAGGAAAATTGCAATTTCCTGTTATGATAAAAATATGATTAAGTCAAAGCAGAATGAAATGAACTACAGATTTTCAAATAAGACAAGTACAATTACTAGAATTAAAAGAACACATGGCTTGTGTGAGCCAGACTAATTGTAAGTATGTGAGCCCTTCACTAGTGGGGTCCCTGAAGGTCATGTTTCATAACAAGATGTTGAGTGTTTCGGGAGTTAGAGCCTAATCCTCATGGTCTGTGTCTCAGAAGAACTCCCTTTATATCTTACACTAAGTGTCTGGTCTGTGTATGGGGTAGACGGTCCCAGACAGCATATATGCACCTCCAGCAAATGATGGGGTCTGCCTACCCCTCCACTGCCATCTACCTTTGTAAATGCCTCACAGCATTCCAGCTTGTGGATCTGTCTTCAGTACACTCACGTGGTGTTCCCTGAATGCTCACGGACAGATCACCTCTGAAGATGGCTTGTTTTGGAGCCTGGAAAGCTCCCATGATGGTGATTCCACCACAAAGGTGCAGCTTTTCTCCTTCGGGTCTCCTTCCCCCCGGCCTGAACAGCAAAGTAAGCGTGAGGCTATGGTTTATTTGCACAGCCAGTTTTCAAATGATCTCAGTAAAAGAGGCATTGACCTGCGGGAGGGAAGCTTAGAACGGTGGGGCTATCTGCAGGGCTCTCCGTGGGGCTGAAGTCCTGACAGAGAGTTAGTGTTGGGGCCTAAGTTCTGTGGCAGCGAGATGGCTAAGCATAGAGCCATCCATCCTCTGTCTGTACAAAGCACTTTACAAACACGTCCTATCTGATGCTCACAGCAGCCCTGGGCAGTATTTTACAACTGAGAAAACTGAAGCAGAAAGACGGTAGGTAATTTGTCAAGGGTCACATAGGGAAGTGGGTATCTGAGGCCACATTTGAACTCAGGTCTTCAGGCCCTATGTGCTCTCCTCTGCACCACCTCCTCACCAGATTGGCAGAGCTGGCATTTCTTCCAGTTTTGAGAGGTCAGAGCCCCGAGGTTAAGCCCTGACTCTGACTCCGACCAGCCTCTCTCACAGAGAGTAACTCCAACAACATTTTAGTGAGGATCCTAAGCACTCCCAGGGTTATTCAGAAAAATAAAAGGGGGCCAGGTCTACACAGATGGTCGTTTATGGGCAAGTGAGCAGTGGAAGGAATGACTGGGGGGAGAGCTATCTTCCCACGGCTATCCTCTGTACCCAGCCCCAAATGTCACTAGAGAAGGCAAAGACAAAAAAAAAATCTACTTTTACAGTTACTAAACTCTCTTTAAAGAACGTAATTCTGAAACTAAAAATTAAAAAACCCCTTTGTAAATATGACAAATCATACCTCCTTCACACAAACAGAAATGTGTATAATAAAAGGGTAAGCAGAATCTCATTCAAACTTTATTACAGGCTTTCTGATAGACTAACATTTTACAGAGAGGCAATCTCATATGAAAGTCATTTTACCTAAAACAAAATGGGAAAAGCTATTGTTTTGGACAATGCTTTATCTGGAACTTAACTTGGGAGTCAGCTCTGAAGAAGAGTTTGGCCAAAACATTAACTTCTGTCATTTAATATTTCCTTGCCTATAACTACACTTGTCTGTTAGGAGGCCTCCAATAAAGACTTTCATATAACATTACATCAGGGAGATATTTGTCTGTCGCTGGGCCTGTAGAAAGATTAAATATGAGACTGCAGTAAGTCCTTGAATAGTATTATTTCTGGTATGTACCAGATGTGTTTTGTAGTTCTCATAAAATAAATGGTCACATTTATGTATCTGCCTCACATATCTGGCCTCTGAGTAAATATATGATTAGAAAAATCAGAACAATTCGACGGGTAAAACAGAGGTTTTGTCATATCAGTATATTTTTGAACCCTGCAAATAGAAATGAAGCCTCAACAACGTGAAGATAACATTTTTCTATGTTTTAGTCAGATAACTGAGAAAAACAGCTGAACGAACTCTGCCAAAGTCTTAGATGCTTTCGTTTAGAAAAAAATTCACTATTATCAATCATTTTTCCATGAAAACCCTAAACTTTGTCCATGTGAGAATATTCTAGCAGTGCTATTGTGCTGAGCTAGGCTCATGCTGATTAAAATTTCATAACACAATCTAATATGACAATATTAGATGAGATCCCTATGAGACTGAAAGGGCAGAGGCTAAAGAAGAAAAAAGACTCCTGGTACACAGGAGATTCCACAGAGAATCTTTACTTCTATTCAATGATAATTCACTAAATACCAGACAGGCACGGTATGATGCTATGTCCCCCCACTAGCCTAACAGCCATAACTAAGGGCACGGCGGGGCTGCCGCCCTTCAAGAGGTCACATGAGAAATACAGCAGCATGCAGGGCAGAGAACGCTGGGCTTGAGAGTCAATATCAGGCAAGTCACTCAATCAGAGCCTCAGTCTCCTCAACTGTAAAGTGGGGATAGCTAGGCACCTATCTCACAAGGTACAGGGCTCAGGTCAATGGAAATGCTCCAGCCTGGTACGTGGAGCCCCTCGGGTTCTGGCTCTCACCTCTGTTCCCTCCTCTGCCCTCACAGCACCCCCATCTCCATGGGACACCTTTGCACAGGCAGGAGAGGTATCCCCCACTCCACCCCCTCCACGGCAGTTCGGCTCCAGGGCTGTCTCAGACACAAGTCATTAGTGCCGTTCCTAGCCAAAAAATCATTGTGTATCTATTTATCTGTGTCCCTGCTGCTTCCTCCATTAGAACATAAGCTCCCTGTGGGAAGCAACTGATTTTTATCTTTTTGAGCATCTAGCACAGTCCCCTGCATAGCAGAGGAGCTCAATGTTTGCTGAATTTTAGAGTTTATGGTCTTAAGAGTCATGGATCCAAATCTTCAGTTTAACAGATGAGGAAACCGAGGCATAGTTCATGAAATGTTTATGGCCCCAAAACTAGTCCAGTGGCCACACTGAGGACCACAACCCAGGTCTCCTAGTCACGAGACCATCGCTCACCCTTTGACAAAATTCTCAACAAACGATTTGAGATGCGGCATGCACAGAACATGTGCTCTCTACCTCACACCAGAACTTGCCTCATCTGTGTACACATGGCATTTTAAAAATTAATATCAGAAATGTGAAGAAAAATAGTACTTCTCTATTCCGCAATTCGGTAAAACACACAAGCTGCAGATTAGCCGGACCTTCACTTTCCTTGAGAAGATACAAGGCAGTGTCCATGGACAACCAGTGAGGTGATACTCCTAAAACAAACAAAAATCTTTAAATTCCTTTAAACAACAATCAATTAGCCTTTTTCCTGAGTAACTGCAAATCAGCAAATATACCCTAGTTCCCTCCCACCAAAATTTTTTCAAAAACTCAAAAACTGCCTATTCTACCTTTTATTTTCAGACATAAAAATGTAGCATTGAGGCCCAGTCATAATGCAGCTTGTAAGAAGGTCTGTGCTAATTATCTCCTGAAAGTCTTAATCTAGAGGACGGGAATTCTGTGTGACCCAATCCCGCACCATGATTTAATAACTGTTGATGTTGACGGTGGATCCCTAATCCCCTTTCACTGACAGACTTACTGCACCCGGCCATCATGAGTAACAGTCCAGTCCACTCTTTGAGGTTTGCACAGGGCTCTGCAATTATGGTCTCCTGAAAGCCTCATGAAGACCTGGAGTGGAGCTATCGTCATTTCCAGTTAATAGATGAGGAAACAGGGGCAGAGCGAGCTAGCCAGGCTCACCCAGCCGGTCAATGTCTGGGGGTGGATTTGAACTCAGGTCTTCAGGACTCCAGGCCTGGTGCTCTGTCCACTGTGCCACCGAGTTGCCCTCTTCAATCCTTGTTCAAAAGTTCTGAAGCAATAAATTATCCATTCGCCTCAGTTTCCTCATCTGTAAAATGGGGATGATGATAGCAGCTCCTCCTTCCCAGGGCTGTCGTGAGGATCCAATGAGATAACAACTCTTGAAGGCTTAGCCCAGCGCCCGGCACACAGCAGGCTCTCTAGATGGTGTTTTCCATCAGCAGCTCTGTTTGGTTTGAACTCCATGGAACAAGATACACTGACGTCCTCCCTACCCCTCTTCCAACTTCCTCTTGTGTGGTGTCTCCCTTCCTGAGACTGTAAGCTCTCTGAGGGCAGGTGTTTGTCTTTCTTTTTCTGATTTGTATACCCAGCTCTCAGCACACTGCCTGGCACACAGTAGATGCTTAATAAATATTTAATGAATTACTGACTATAATTGCTAGTTGTGAGCATCATTTACTATTATTTTTGTTAAATTCACATCCTATAATTAAAAATAAACTCCACAAATAAAGACTGCTGGGAACTAGAAAGAGTTTCCAAAAGGGATTGTTCTGTCCCTACACCACAGGGCGGGGCCGCAACAGCAGCCAGCCATTTTCACTGAAGGACCAAAGCTGTGCGCTGCCACAGAACACTCGAACGGGCTGTGCAGGACGAAAATGTGGCAGAACCTTTTGGCTGAGATGCCACAGGGGGACCATCTCTAGAGTGTCCATTGTAGGTGCAAGGTTGGAAGGAAATGTGCATATTAGATAAGGGTGTTGGTGCAGGAGACAGGAAGGCCAGGCCCTGCCTCTGACATCCACGAGCTGGGAGACCCTGGGCAAGTCACACGACCGCTCAGGACCCTGGGCAGCTCTCTGAGACTAGGAATGACAGAAGTCACAGAGAAGATGCCATTTACACTAATAGATGAAATCAAAGGTCCATTTAAAAAACATACATACACACACACACACACACACGCACACACACATACATAGTATATACATAGCATCATAACCGGATAAACCCTTCAAGAGAAACATTCGCACACCGAGCTGTGGAAAGGTCCATCACGAGAAGTGAACAAGCAGCACATGGCACGTGCTATCTGATATCCGTTTGTGCGTAATGAGGAAGCAGGCCCATTTGTGGCTGAAATGACCAGATAAAGGACCTTAAATCAACCTGACTTTAGACCTGGAAAGCAAAAACTCCGGTAATCTCACTGCTCTGTGGTCACTTGAGCTTTGAAAAAGCACCCTGCCCGATATTTATCATCCCTGAGGCATTGTAGTTGAGAGAAGAGTAGGATTTTCAAGGCTTCACAAGACCTTTTCTCAAGCTTATAAAAAAAAATTAAGGCCAGAAATAGAAAATCTAAAAGTCAGTGCACTGCAACTAGTTTTACATCATATACTAACAAAAGGTATCAGATTTTCCCTTGCTTTTATAGATTTAAAATTTTAAAAAACCCATATCTTTTTTCTTTTTTTTCTTTTTTTTTTTTAGGCAATTGGGGTTAAGTGACCTGCCCAGGGTCACACAGTTAGTAAGTGTCAAGTGTTTGGTCTGAGGCCGGATTTGAACTCGGGTCCTCCTGACTTGAGGGCCGGTGCTCTATCCACTGCGCCACCTAGCTGCCCCTAAAAACCCCATATCTTAATAAAACATCTAAAGCGATCCCATTATTGGTACCAAGGCTTTGCAACTTCAAACTCTCATACACTCTTACTACTATGGGAACATGTGTTGATTAATTCATGAAATGGAAACATGGATTACTCCTATGAACACCTGTAGCAATGATATCTGTTCACCAACTTTCTAAAAGAAAAGACAGAAACTGTCAACTTGCCTTCTTCTTGATTCAGCTTCAGAGGTCTAATAGTAAGATAGACTGTGGACCTCTGGGCTAGATGGATCTTGTACTGATGACTGACAATCTCGCCATTTTCTTCCAAGAAGAAACAGCCCTTTGACTGTGCACACTGCCATTCCTGAAAATGAGCAAAAAAGCACATTTGAGCCAGATCCTGGAGGCCAGGTGGCATTTAGAGGGATGGAAGAGTGTGGGGAAGGAGGGAGGGAATATCACTGATAAAACTCCTTGAGTCTGAGGAGACACCAATGTTTGGAGAAAATAAAACTCAAAGAAAAGAGTGGTCTCCCTAGAACACAGGCTTCGTGCCCGGGTGGGGACCAGCCTGTGAGGAGCTGTGAATGTCAGATTTAGGAGTATGGAGTTGGCTCTGTGGGTTCCTATAAATCCCAAGAGGTTTTGGAGCAGAGAATGTCCAAGTGAAAGCAGTGATGGAGGAGACAAAGAGGAAGCCGCTGAGGCTGGTGCAGGCTGGTCGAGAAGGGGAAGACCAAGGATGGAGAGAGACAGGACCTGAGACCGCTGCAACGGTCCAGAGAGGAGATGCCATGTGGCTACTGCCACAGAAGTAGGAGGAAGGAATGGATGTGTGCCCCTGAGAGATGACCTAGGAGAACCTGATGACTGAGCAACCGCTACAAGGAAAAAGGAAAAGAAATGGTAAAAATGATCTGGAGACGTCAAACCTGAGCAACTAGAATGTCATGTCCCTGATAGGAATTTTTAGCTCTCTTAATTCAGAACAAAGCCTTCTCTAGCATGAAGATGGGAACATGAGCATGAGCAGAAAATAAACATCTTGCTGTTCCAGAGTAACGCGGAATTGTGGGGTAAACACAAATAGACAAGAGCCTTTGATTCAGCCCATTTCCAAGTTACGTGCATATTTGTGTCCAACTGGCAGATGGTCTCTAGGACTAGAAGAATCAGAAGGCTTTGAAGCTGGCTTTATAAAGGCCACTACTTGCAAAAATGTTCTGTGGGGATACCTGGATAACTACTAAGCAGAGCTTTTTAATGATCTTCTACTGCTTCCTGAGAAAGGTGGGTAATAGATGTATCACAATAACCATGAAAACCATGACAAAATCCAATATGGTTATTTACTTTGGTTCTGATAAAGGAAGGGAAGATATCATATAACTGAGGCTAAATTCATCTTCAAATTATCAAGGGCAAATCTTTCTATCCTATGCTTAAAAGTAAATTCATCATTAGAAAATTGAAAATAGAAATTTTTTAAATTCTGTAGCATTTCACTTTGCCTGAAAAGAGCTGAATTTTAAAATGAGCAAAGGAAGGTCTTGCTATCAGTGATAAGTTATTAGTTTTCAGTGATCGATACTATTTCATAAAAGAAAGGAAAATTTATGTTTTAAATTAGAATTTAAATAATAGAAATAATTCAGGGGGCAACTTTTATTTTAAGTTCTTAGTAGCATGTTCCAGAACTATAAGGGACCACAGAGATCATCTCATCCAACCTTCTCACTTTAGAGAGGCCCACAGAGGTCAACTAATTTGCCCAGGGGGTAGGGGTGACTCTGCCTCCTCTCATTCTCCAGAGTATGCTCCTTCCCCTATTGCCCAACTACCCACAACACATGGCTCACCATACAAGGTAAGACTATAAAGTAATGAGTACCTTTTCCCATAAGCCATAGAAGGGAACCAGTCTCATAGCCTGATCTTACAAAGAAGGAAGTCCTTATCTTTCAAAATTTTCTCCAAAACTCAAAACACTTTCAGATATATTATTTTAGCAATTTTGCAACATTCCCATAAGGCAGGGAGAGAGAGAATATTAATCACTTTAATTAAAAAACTAACATAAATATGAACGGATTAAAGGTTCATAAGGAGGTTAGGGAGAGATTAGACTAGATGCCAGCACTCCTAGAAAAGTCCTATGTCTCTTCGATAACACTTTCAAAGGAAAGTAGAGTTAGGGAACATAACTAAAAACATTTCCAACAAGGTTCTAGAACACCAGGAGATCAAAGGCTTAAGCACGAATTCAACTATTAAAGGCAAAGAAGAGTGTGCCATGATTTCAGAAGGCTCCCTCCTAGATCGGAACTTGAATGGACCAACAAAGATGCTGACACACTGCAGACACAGTCCATCTGCCCTTGGGTGATGCTGACTGATACAGCAGAGAAAGAAGAGTATGGTCATCTGTCCATGTAGACATGTTCTATCAGGCCTTGTCTCCAAGAGGAACATGTTTCCAAATGCAGAAGTAATTGTATCTTTCTTTCTCTGCTTTATCTGTCATCACCAACCAAAGGCAAATGTCTTAAAATACAATTTAAAATTTCAATTAGTTTTTAGATGATAATTACATTGTCTACAATCTCTTCCAGAAAGGTTCAGTTCTCTATGAAATTGAAACTCACATGATTTTCTATTAAAAACTAATCATGTTACCTTTGAGAACATATTTGTAAATAAGAGAGCCACAGTTGTGTAGGGGACAGGGCATTGTCCCTGAAGTTGGGAAGACTCAGGTCAAGGTTCACCTCAGACATAACAACTGTGTGGCCCTAGACAAGACGTTAACCTCTCGTGCTTGCCAAGCTCCATTGGCAGAGGGAATTTCCTCATCCTGGGAGATCCCACTAGTAATGTAATTACAGGTACAGGAGCTCTCTCTTTCCCCGCCAATGGTGGCTACTGCTTGTTACTTCCTTGTGCCTCACATGGTACTTGGTTTCTACCATGCTGACTGCATGTTTATGAATGGGTCCTATTCTCCCTGCTAGACAGGAAGCTTCATAAAAGCAGGCACTGAATCTCTTTACCTCCATTAGGCCCTGGCATGGAGGTGTGCACACAGTATGAGTTTAATAATACAGCCAGACACGTCCATTTCACGGTGTGAAAACAGAGCCCCAGGGCACACAATGGCTTGGGCACTGTCACCCTGCTGGTTGGCCCTGGTCTCCTGATTCCCAGCCCTGCAGAGTCTCCACTCCCCCACAAAAGCAAGCTGCGGTGCGGTGGAAGTAGGGCTGGACTGGGAGTCCTATGACCTGGGATCAGACCCTGGCCGTGTCATTTCACGAGTCACCCTGCCCCCATGGGCCTGGCCAGATGACCTCTCAGGGGTCTCAAGAGCAGCCTGCAGACTGGCTCCATAGCTGGCATGTCCCACACTCGACTTGGTGTCTTCCTCCCAAGCCCTCCAAACCGCCTGCCCCTACTGAGGGTGCCCTGCTCGTGCCAGTCCCCCAGGTTTACAACCTTACCTCATAAATCCCCTCAGCTGCCAGACCTCATCATTGCTTCCTCTACAAGACCCTTCCGCACAGTCACTGCCCTCATTGTTCAGGGCCTCATCACCTCCTGCCCAGACTACTGCAATGGCCTCCTAGCCGCTCTCCCTGTCTCTTCCAGCCTTCCTCCACAAAGCGCAGGTCTGGCCACATCACTTCCCTCCTCGGTAAACTCTAAGATCACGTCTAAGCTCCCCAAGTTGGTCTTTCAAAGCCCACCAGTCCCACCCTATCTCTGATCCCAGGGTATCCATCGCTGCCCTTCCTGTGCCTCTCCAGCGCAGCCAAACCCTCGTCCTCACAGGCTGTGGCCCCAGCAAGTGGTCCTTCCTTGCCTCTTCTAGAATCCTTTCCAATAATGTACAAGCCACTACAAATAGGCTTCTCTAAGCCTCCAGGGGCTGCCTGATCCTTTTTAAAACTATATTTCGTCTGAACATTTTATGGAATGTTGTTTCCCTTGACAGGAGGTAATCCCTCTAAGAGAAGGGACTCTCTTGGTTTTGGTTTTGTTCCCTTCATATCCAGGAAAGTGAACAGCACACAGCAAGCATTTAATATGTGCTTATTGATTCCATCAATCAAGCAATAAGCAGGTGGCAGAGAGGACAGAACTCTGGTCTGGGCGCCAGGAAGACCTGAGTTTAACCTTCTCTAAGATCCTAGCTGTGTAATCCTAGACAAATCAGTTGACCTCTCTGTCTGTGCCTCAGTGCCCTCATCTATAAGATGGGGACAATAACAGCAGCTACTTCACAGGGCTGCTGGGAATATACAGATAAGCTCTTCAAGCTTAAAGTGCTATGTAAATGTCAGCTATCGCATCATCAATGTTATAAAGTGCCTCCTGTGTGCTAGGTACTGTGATAAACACCAGGGACGAAAACACAAAGAATAAAACAATCTTTACTCGCAAGGGGCTGCTATTACCATGCAGGTGACAAGTACATATAGAAGTATATGCAGAGTAAATACAAAGAAAACAAAGACACAGTAGTTGGAAGGGACTTTGTCTGGCAGGAAGGGCAGAGGTCTTGGATTCGTGCAGAAGGCCGTGCTTGAGTTGTGTCTGTCTAACAGCAAGGGAGGGAATCTTTGAAGCTGGGGGGGCAGAAGTGCATTCAGGCATGGGATGGCCAGCATCAAGACGTGCAGATGGGAGATGGAATGCCACAGACAGGGAAGCAGAGAGAGTTCGGTTTTAGTGCGAAGTGTGGGAGAGGCTTTAATGTCCAATAAGGCCGGAAAGCCAGGCTGGGCCAGCTAGTGAAGGAACCTGAAAGCTTCACAGAGCAGTTTCTATCACATTCTAGGGGTGACTGGGAGTCCTGGGGGTTGGCTGAGTTGAGAAGGGAGAGAGTCAGATCTGCACTCAAGAACAATCCCTCTGGGGGCAGCATGGAGAAGGTGCTTGTGAAGAGTCCAACGAGGCAGTTACTGTAACCATCCCACAGGGAGGTACGAGGGCCTGAACTAAGGAGGCAGGTATGTAAGTGGAGAGAAGGCGCCGGATGCAAACGCACTCTGGAGGGGATCAGATATGTGCAGTGAGAGACACTGAGTCCTCTAGGATAATGCCAAGCTTAAGAACCTGGGGCCTTCCTCAGAAACAGGCTAAGTCTGAAAGGGTGGAGGGTTCTGGGGAAAAGATAATGAACACCATTTGGGACAAGCTGAGTGTGAGATGTCTCCAGCAAACACTGTTTGAAATGTCCAAGAGATACCTGGTGACATCGAGCTTAAGTTCAAGGGGAAGACTGGGGTCAGAGAGATAGATCTATGAATAATCAGCATAGAGATGATAATTAAACCGAGGGGAGATGATGAGGTTTCTAAGAGA